ATTTCGGTTACATATATAGCACGTATTGTAACGGAGCGTGCGGTTGATTATTCCGAAGAACAAATAATTATACAGACTCACAAATTCGGTCGCGAGACAAGTTGCAGGCTGTCGTTTAGGTGATGCGAGCAGGGCCGTCAACAGATCCCGCATACCCCTGTACGCACAGCAGAGCGGGAAGTACCACTGTCAGACAACGGCCTTCAACTCAGGCCATGCGTTCATCGCGAGGCCAGGAGCCAGGAGATTGCACCCTAGATGCTACCGTGATGGCAAATGAATCTATTACCGATTACCCCGAGTACACCCGATCGTTTCATTGGCCGAAGAGTGGGCGTTACTCAACAACCTCGGCCCCACCAAAGAGGAGGACTAGATACGCGTCTAAATTTAAAATAATACCGATTTATTTGAAAAAGTAGTGACGCTGTTTAACGTTGAGGTTGGGCCAGAGAGGGGTTGGCGGGTCCAGAAAATCACCCGACCAGCTGTCAGACATTTCAGACACTTTTTTCTTTTGGTATTGCAGTTTCCGGTAGAGACCATTCCGAAGTAAAAAGGCCTAGAGAACATCTGTTGCCTGAGGGCAAGGGCATTCTTTAATGGACACTGACACTAATGCGCTCGTTAGAGTCGTGCGGAGCTTGCGGTAAGATGATGCACCCATCCCCTATGTTTGAATGTGAAGCCTTTGAGACAGATGGAATGAAAAAGTCAGCAGCATAGTAAATTGGCAAAGGGATAATACCTTACACCGAATTGGCAACAGCTGACAAGGCAGTTGTCGGGCCACTCACTTTGTACAGCTCCATGACCCTGTAAGACACCTCTGTCGACAGTCGTCCAAGCACCGAATCGTGGAGATTTATTCTCACCTGGAAGAAAAGAGCAGAAAGTCAAAATCTATCAACAATATTTCCCGAGGATTTCAAGAAACGATCTACTTTTAAAACACGCCAGGAGCCAGGAGCCCAGTGTCGTCAGAAAGGGGATCCATGGGGCGGTGACCGTGCATGTATGAATTGTTTGCTACAGTACAAAGATAGTTGCAAAGTTGGGCCGCGTACGAGCTGCTAACGCGTAGCTTTAATTTTGGTCAGGCAGCATATAAATAGTCGTCCCCTCGCCGAGGATGACCCGCTTTCAATTAATCCTCTCACTGACCCCCGGCCTGCTAGCCCTGCTCGCCCTGGCCGCAGTGCCGGTGGGGACGGCCTGGTTTCATAACGCCCACTGCACAGTATGCATAAGGCTGGAGCCACAGCTGAAGCCACGGCTAGAGCACTCCGCGCCAAACTTCATTTCCCTTTGCCATGCGACCGCCAGTGCTCTGCTTGTACTCTTGGCGCTGCAGGATGTGTGCTGCTGCTGGGGCCGCTCCGGGGAGGGATACAGAGGAGTGTGTCATTCAATACGACTACTGTACGATATGCACAACCAAGCACGTGAGAATAAGAAAACGCATATCATCAACGCGTTTTCGCAAAAATAAAACTGTAATTTCTACCCGTCATTGGATCGCTTTTGAAAATGTTTCTAAGTATTCTTATGTACTTCGAAAAGCTTCCAGAAAGCTCGGAACGCTTCAATGACAGTTTTTGCGATTTTAATTTCGGTTTGGTGCATTGTGCATTTACGTTACGCGTTACTTTACGTTTTGTCCCCCTGCCGCCCAGGAAGCCCTGCACAGTAAAATATATAAATCAATTACGTGCAAGTGGAGTTGGCTGGAGAATTAGCCCCTATTCAGAAATCAAACGTATAGCTTAAATTACAAATATTTAGTGGTACAGCTACAAGGTATTGGTCCACAGATTTTATTTTTTGCGTATGGTGCTTTGTTCTTCGACAAAAAAAAGCAAACAAAACAAACAAAACAAAAAGTTGCCCGAATTCGATAAAGTTGCACGTGACGGAGTCACTTATAAATAGAAGTTGACCCTAAGAAGCAAGAGTTCAGAGATAAACAGGTGTTGGTATGTTCAAAATACCACCAATGGTTCGATATGACTGCCAACAAGCTGAGCCAACATATCCACTTGGAACTGGAGCTGTATAGTAAGCTTAACTCTAAGCAGACTCGCAGACTTCACTCAAAGTGGCTCTAAAAAGAGTGCGCGCGCGCATGTGCGTGTATTGCGCCCGGGTGGATCAGCCAGCCGAGAGTGAAATTCTCTCCGCGCACCTACACCGCGACATGCTCACTCTCGGCTTACCAAAAACACACGAGCAGAGACTACAGCACTTTAAGGAAAATTCGTTGTAATAAAACGAAAATACAACCTTGACTGTGATAGATTAAAAAGTTACACATCCATAAGCTTGCATAAATAACAAAATGTGCATAAATGAGATTTACTGGAAACTATACTCGAAAAGACAGCCCAGGCACATGCGCTCAACTCATTAAGCAGCTAGTTAAGGTCACTCTAGGCGGGCAGTAAAAAAAAGTACAGAAAGAAAACATAAAACGCGCGAGAGATGTGGCCGAGGTGAACAGCGCCCTTCGGTCCTAATGGCTTCATCACCACAATGCAAACCTCCACTCATTTCCTGAGGGCCAGTAAGAACGAGTCCCACGCGTTGAAATGTTTGTTCAGTCCGTGCAAAGAACAATGTAACCAAACTCACTGTACCTATTTGGTACAGCTGAGTCAATAGAATTGTGTGCTATCTCACGTTGATTCATCATTCATCTATTTTATTCTGTAAGCTTTCAAATAAACGTTACACACATTTTTGTGAGATTTTTTCTTATTGTTTGCGCTAATTTGACTATAAGCATTTTCCATTCAACAATGCTGAGTCGACAATCGCCACGCCTCCTGCACCTTGGTTGGTATCGCCTTCACACAGTGGCGCGCAAATAGTATAGGATTGCCCAAACGCCCGTTTGTCATGGGCGCGCAAACTGCGTGGTCACTGCCAGTCATGTCATCCACGAGAACATCTCTCGGGGTCAGGGGGCGGAGAGACGAAATCTACGCTCGGCGAGGCAGCGTGCGACCTCACACAGCAAATTAAACGCAAGAATAGTATGCTAGTATACTCGTCCCATCTCGAAGAGGCCAGGGTCTTACAACGTGAACAGAAATACCCCTTACTTTAAATAATAGTGCAGAAAACTCAGAAACGTGTTCAAATAAACAGGCAGCGACATGAACGGAACCCAAAGTAAGCACAAGAGTCTTTTTTTGACAGTGTTGTGCAAGGCTGTCACTTGATGAGTCGGGCTATTGACACTCGCTTTTGTCTGCTCGTGACATGGCCTATGACAGCCGTGCGGCCGGGCTGCTTCTATGGCGGTCATAAAGACGCCGCAAGACAACGCGCAATAATTAGCATCCAAGTGCGAAGTCAACTCTAGAGAGTGAGTTCGGTTGATTTCATCGAAGCATATAATACCGACCCATCCAGGGTCTTGTCCCAGGTTATCCTTTTGGCCAGTATCTGACGAACGACACCACTCTACATTTACAATTAAGTGAGAATGTAGAAGACCCACGTTCTAGCCTGAGGTAATGCCACCTCCACCAGACTGCTCAGAGGGCTTTAGGGGTGACGTCGCCAGCGCTGACTTCAATGCCTTTTGATGGAGTAGGGGAGGGGAAATCATCAACGCACCATCAGGGCGCACGCGCGGGAACAGCTGAACGGGAACAGTGCTGCCACAGTCAGATTACGTCCACCCCTCCCCCTGCCCAATAAAGAAGGAAAATCCGCGAGAGAATGGACGATGCGCCCCTGCTGCGCCGCAGCCAGGGATCGCACGCGTGTCTGATCGGTTTGGGAGGAGGCGCGCAGTGCCAACCACGCCGCGCAGCACCGAGCCGCGCGGCCTTCAGAGCAGGCATCACTTTCTCACGCGGACTGAGCCCCCTATTCAAAAGCGTCATCGCATTGCGTCCCGCGCACAGTAACGTCACGCCACCAGCCGACCAGTACTTGAAACTCTGTATGTGTGTGTGTGTGTGTGTGTGTGTGTGTGTGTGTGTGTGTGTGTGTGTGTGTGTGTAGAAGAGGCTACCTGACATACAACTTGGACACACAGACACGGGTGTAGAAGAAAGACAATTTCAGAGGTATTAATTGGTATTGTTAATCACACCACGGGCAAAGCCTTCCTAGCCGGACAGGCCACGCTGACCGTGCCACTCCACACTCTACTGCCCCAATCTGGCAGAAAACAAACGACCCATTGTGGCGCCCGTGCCCAACTGTCCGGCACAACACATATCGTACCTGTCGTCATAGCGCATCCGGGGTGCCCGGCCCGGCCAAGCACGCAACAAAACGCCCCCTCCCCCACCTCCCCCCCCAAAAAAAAGAAACACAAAAAAAAAAACAACGCAAAGGTACTGTAAATTTTCTTAGAATAAAGGTAAGTATTTTTACACAGCTTGTGCAATGTGCACTGGTACACAGTTCGGTACACGTGCAGATCAGTGGTATCATTGAGTAAAGAGAGAAAAGGGTTATTTTGATCGACTTGATGAAGCGTAGAATGGAAAAAGAAGGAGAAAGACACATTGAAATAGAGGGGGGGGGGGGGGCTATCAGGGTCTAACCTAACGCATGGCTCATTAAATGAGGAGGCCACATCACAATGGAGCGGCTGCTGTGTTCTTCCCCTTCGCGCGTGTACGTGTGTGAGGCAGAGCGGGAAGGGCCATGGCAGGCAATACTGCATGCAAAAATACTAACAAGGGTCAGCTCGACATTATTTAGAAAGAGTAAAACGTGCGAGCAGGAGGAGAATGAGAAGAAAACGGAAGCGGAAGTAGGGTAGAAGGGCGGGTCTATAGAACGGCTGTAAGGACGACACTATGGAGTGTATATGGAAATATTCCGACAGACAGAATTGGCAAGTTCCACCCGAACGGCGTGCCCCTTTATTCGCTTTTATTACTCATTTGCTTCCGCAGCGCAGAACGGCTTTTTCATATCCCGAGAGCCCCCAACCGCCAACTCTCAAAGCAGATGGACAATTAGTATAGCGAATATTCGAGCGTATTACAAAGTGCAATGGAAATCCGTGAGCATTTTCCGTTTGTTTTCGCGAGTTTTCATAAGCAAGTACCTAATGAGTTTTCGGGAGTATCTTGCGAATATTTTCCCACGTGCGTTCGGTGAGTTTGTTCTGCTGGGGGACGCCTTGTCATATCCTCGGTGGCGGCCCCTCCCTGCAAGCCGTAAGTCAGTGGTCGGACGTGCAGGAGCAGTAACCGTGGACCTCATTCAAACTGCGGTGCTGTGTTATTTCGCGTTTCTCGCGGAAACGGTATCATCGGTTTAGTGTGTGGTTGCGTGTGGAACCGGGTTGCCTTGCCTCGCACCTCCTCACGCACACCAACGCCACCTGCAGCCACCTGCGGCCTGTGCGCGCCGACCTTCGAACCCAATACACACCGCACAGCGCCGCATCGCACAAGCCTGACCCCAGAGACGTCACAGGTCAGAGCGGGCGGAGCGGAGCCTGTCACTTCCTCCCCGTACAACGGCCCCCGGGGGGGGCCTGTGGAGTTCCCCGGGGGGGCGGGCGTTGGGCAACACAGACAATGCGATGTGCAGCCTGGCTTCATTGAGTGTGCGTGAAATGACTTCACCTGGACGGGCGGGGCAATCAACTGCAAGCTACTTGCAGTACATATCGTACGAATCTAACGCTTTGGTTCAAGTCAGAGTCAGACGCACTAAAATGCCGAGTATGCGGATATCGCACACCTCCAGGTGACTGGAAATATTCACACACTACAGCATTCATGCCTGTGCAAAGTGTTCGTACAGTGTGCATGCCTATCCACACTGTTGAGTTTTCTGTGTAGCCACTTCAGAGGGTAGGCCTTCCGCCCTGCAGCACCTGGATGCGGCCTAG